GATTTTCAACTGAATTCTATATTTCGTATTACTCCCATGCCACGCTAACAACAGATCACCTCGTCTATTATTCAGGGTTCTATCTTAAATTACTGAGGTTCTATTTTTTGTAGCAATGTTAAAAATATTCTATAAAGTAGTTTTGACCGATGCCATGGTTAATACTTGAACCAGGATGCATCTTACTTAACTTTCATACCACATTACATAGCACAAAATAATAAAACCAATTTTATGGGGTTTTTGTATTTTTTTTTTTTATATTTGTAATTTTTAAATTCCTATTGGATTTTCAAAAATAAAATTTTTTCCGGTGCCGCTAGATTTTGCTGCTAATCCTTCTAGAGGCTATGGATAGCGTTTAAGACATTATGTTCCTACTTGAATTTTTATCGTTTTTTGGAATTTCAATCCAATATAATATACAGATTTTAGGAGCTAACATTCTGAAATTATTCATATTATCAGGTTAAAAAGTACTAGTCCAAGCGGTACTAGTGGCACCTTGAATGCGTGTGATAACTGAGAATTGGCAATAGTTTTCTCAAAATTAATTTGCTTCTGGGCGTTATTTATAACCTAACAAATGCTGTACTGCCTCATATAAGAAGGAAAATGCTTGCATAAAAGTTTATAGCTTATAAGGATTGCGACTTATCGTATGGTTGACTGTTCAACTCCGTCTATAAAATAAAATGAAATATCTAAAGCATTTTTTGGTGTATTTTATTACCAACAAACATTTTATTTTTCACAATTGAGAAAAAATGAATTATTGAATTTTCAAAAGGTTACAAAATGTGATGAAGCTGGAAAGCTGAAATTCTTTGAGTTTTTTTTTTTTAAGAAAAGGGTAGATTGAATAATATTAATTTAAAAGAAATTTATAATTTATTCCCTAATATAACTATAAAGGATCTTTTTTAATCAAAAATTTAAAATTAAATACAATCGTTATGAAGCGTTGATAGCATTACAACATGCGATGCCATTATGGATTTAACATATTTCCCAGCTTTAATATTCCTTTTATTTCAAAAATTTAATGATTTTTAATCTTTCCTCACCTTTCTTTAAAAAAATAAATCAGTTAATTTATTTTTATTCAATTTTATGAAAAATGAATGCAAATATTTCGATTCTAAATAAATGTATCGTATAACTTTTTATTTCAATTGTGTAATTAATTATTACTTAATATCTCGACAAGTGATGATCGAAATCTATTTTTAACCTTTCTTTCTTCAACCATAATAAACATAAGCATATACGTTATTCGTTTTACTTTAATTTCCAACGAACGTTTTGGCTTTAAATCTTCAGCTAGATTATTTATTACTTAAAATGAACTCGGGGTTTGGTTTTATTTTTATTCGTATTATTTTTCAATAACTCGACAATATTTTTTTCGCTTCTCATGCTTCTAATAGTCGGTTTTTATGTACGCATTTATTTGTAATCTGAATAAGTGAGGGCTGGGGGTATAGGGCCTCTTTAAGGCCTCTCAGTCCTAACATTTGATATCTTTAAAAAAATCGTATTATTGATACATTGCTGTAGCATCAGCAATTATCATGCTAAAAAGTTTGTCCAGCTCAAAAAAATATATGAGCTGTTAAAGTTTATTTCTTGGAACCATTGTGAAATTATTTTTATCTTAACTTGCTAAATAAATAAATATATTTGATTTCTGCTCATTTTCTCCATAAGAAAAATATATTGGTATCCACTATCATTGCTTAACGCAACCATTCATTTCCTGCGATTACTAAAAAATGTTTTCTTGTTTTGCGCTTACATCAAAAAGGTTTATTAAAAAAAATTATTTTATTTGTATGCTGTTACGCGATTGGTTAACGTCCTCTCTATAAAATGTTATTGCAGCTATAAAATAAATAGAATCTGGATCCCAAACAATTTAAACGGCATTAAAAGAGAAATTAAATTTCTCACGACGCATGTTGATATCTAAGATATTTTAAGCAGCATAGATGAACTAGTCTATTGCAAACGCTTCTTAGGTTTCATTTCTTTTTCTGACATTTTAAATTAAAAACTAAAAAGTTAGTTTAAAAATTGTAAAGTGAGGTAAATAATTCGTAAAATTAATCGTTTTTTTTTTACTTTGAGTTTTCAACGGACACAAATTGTTAAAAAAATAATTTTGGATAATTTTTTTCTTTTCGAACACAGCTCAAAATGCGCATATAAGAAAATGGACATCTAAAATGCATGTTTAAGTAGACGTGGCAATTAATTTATGAAAATGAATATAGTCTAGTCATGAATCATTTGAATATTTATATTTTGTTTTGGAGGTTGATTCGCTGCATCATAGATAGATTGTATTAACTTTGTTGATGGGTACTTGATGTCATGAATCATTTGACTATCTAGTTATGATTTGACTATTTGACTAGTCTAGTCATGAATCATTTGACTATTTATATTTTGTTGGGGAGGTTGATTCGCTGCGTCATAGATGGATTCTATTAACTTTGTAGATGGGTACTCGATGTCATGAATCATTTCACTATCTAGTTATGATTTGACTAGTCTAGTCATGAATCATTTGACTATTTATATTTTGTTGGGGAGGTTGATTCGTTGCATCATAGATAGATTCTATTAACTTTGTATATGGGTACTTGATGACGTTATCTCTATACCGTACATATCCTAAAAACCATGTAACACTGGCAATATGTGTGCAAGTACCCGATGTCCAATGCTGCTCTTCAAGATATTTTCACCATTTATGTTTGAGGCTCTGAATCTCGGTCTGTATCTGTCTCTCGGCATTAAATTAACTTAACGTTAACTAATATTCTAACTTATGTAGAGAAACTTAGCTCAACTTAAACAAGCCATTTTGCTTTGAAACAATCGGCCAGCACTGACGTCATAGAGCACATATGTTCGTATCTGGGATCTTCTAGAAGTAAAAGTACACAATTAAAGAAGATGGAGTACAATCGTCTTTTAATCAAACAGAGCTATAGGCTAGCTGACGTTACTGATGCTATCTTTAAAATATTTTAAATAACAGAATTTAAAGCAATAATTACCTCTAAACCAATGAGAAAATTCCATTCTTCAAACGGCTCTACCGAGCAAAATAATAGAAAATTTCGAGCGAATTTTTAGAATGTGGCTAAATTTGCCCCTTGCAGCCTCTCTTCGAATTTCTGGATGGAACCGCAAAGGGATCTAAGGTTTTAAGAGAAACATACGCGAGCTCTTTACTTTATTATTATAAACTAGAAAGTTTCATCACTACTCGCTAACGTTCTACCCTCTGAACTGCTTTCTCAGTTCCGTTGAGATTACTTCACAACCAGAGCTCCTTTCGCTCAATCATTAGATACAGTATATGCTTTTTATGCTACAGTATATGCTTACTAGCTTTATATGCTTTTTTGAAGTCTAAAGCTTAGAATAAACAGTTCATAAGACTTCTCTTTGTACTGAATTCTAAATTTATAATAAATATAATAAGTAATTATTAAAAATTATTTTTCGCGTGGAATTATCTCTGAATAAACGAATTTTATGATGATGTGAAAAAAATTTCTATTCGTTTAAGTTCACAAAATATGGCAAAATTCGCAAAATATAAAATTAACATTCAGAAAACAACTAACATCAAACTTTGGACTGCTAGCTTGACCAAACTATTAGGACCCTATTTCTGAGATTGAGGCTACTTTCTGTATTTTTGAGGTCAGAAATCGCAATCCGTCGAAAAGAAGATTATGTGTTTATTCAGAGAAAATATGTTTTTGGGTCAACTTTACTGCTAATTAGCATGTTTGAGTCTAACCCCTTAAGATTAAGTTTTACTGCGTGATAGTCCGATCATAACATCAAAAGTTATTCAGATTGTTTCTCATATATTTTTGTTCAAATGCAGGAGTAAATTTAAAATCAATTTAAAGATACAATCGGAGCTGAACTGAATAAAATGATAGATAAAAACAGGGCTTAAAGCTTCATTTATGGTAATTGAAAAAGCATCTCTAAACGGACATAATTATATATTGATGTTTATGTATAATAATAATGTATCATAAATGTTTATATAAAATATCTATCTTTTGTAGATTTTATTTAGTAGATGTCTTTTTTTGTTGGATGTTTTATGTTCAATGATTATGAATTCCCACTTGTTCAAACTTTTCAGTTCTCTATTGGCAGCGCAAAAAAGAAATTCTATCACTATTTTAGCTACATACGCATTAGTGTTTAAAATAGTATAGATTATTAATAGCTAAAAGAAAGTGAACGAAGCCAATTTATTTAATAAATGGTTCTTTAACTCTTTCAATACTTTTTTCTTTCATTTAAAACAAAATTAGTTTCTAATTCTGTTATTATGAACTCAATTTAAAAATTAATATCTACTTAATATGGAATAAACTTTTTTGATATTATTTGAAAATTGTATGATTGAAAATTCGAAAGAGAATTTTTGATTTAGTAACACTAAAGTAGCTTGCCAAAACAAGATTCAGTTATTTTATTTATGTGTTTAGATTTGTTCTTTACTGAGGACTTTTTTATAAAGAAAATGAACGGTCCTACGTTACCAGGGCACATATACCCTTCCCTACTGGCAGCAAGACTTGATAATTCAATGCCGTAAGCCAATCGTAAGCCGTCCTACCCTATGTGAAGTATTTGCGTTATATTTGAACAGCTCTAATGTAATATTTATAGGTTGTACTTTTTTTTAACACAGAAAATCGTTTCTTTTTTCTTAAGTTTATAACTTTGTTATTAAAGCTTATTAAAATGAAAGAATATTAATTACATTTATACATTAAAAAAAGTTTTCGTTCTAAATTTGTTTATTTTTTAGTTTGATTCTTTTTTTTTTAAATGTTACTGATTATGTAAAATTTTAGGTCAGAAAAATTCAGTGTTTCTCCAGTAAGTGTCACAGTTTCTATGTACACAGCTGATTTCACATATTTACACTATAATTTTATGTTTTAAGGATGATTTCTATATTTAAAGGTGTATAGCGCTGTGCAAGATTTAAAGTCAATAATATATTTTAATCAATAATATATCAAAACACTCTTTACAAAAGCAATAGAAAACAAAGTCATGCTTGCTAAAACTGTTATTTATATTACGATAACTATTGCTGTTAACTTCGTTGGTAAGTTTTAAATATGTTACTATTATGTAGAAGTAGTTCAATGATTCTAAAAAGTGACTCATAGAGTTGTATCTATTATAAGTCATTTTTTCATATTTTAACTAGCAAATTAACATCTGTTTTTATTAGTTTCATTCTTAAAATTTAATTGTAAGTCAGCAGTAATCTGGAATAATGTGTTGTATAACTAATTGCAGGTATTTTTGTTATATAGTATCGGATTGAGACTTCAATTAATTCAATACTTTAAACCTATATTAGGGTAAACTAACCAGTGAAGGAACACTTAAGCTTCGCTTGCCTTTTAAAAAATCATATTAATTTCAAAATCCGTAATTTTAGTTAAATGACAATGTCAACATATTTGTAACTAAATACAAATTATGTCAAAAAAAATTGTAGAGAACTTACATATATTGCAATCCAGTGAATAAACGCCCCCCTATCTCAGTAATTGATGATGCTATGATGCTTAAAAAAATAAAACGTAACTTCAATAACTATATTTTGAATTCTTATTTTCACAGTAAAAAAAATAAAACCATTACATGCAATTAATTCCACTTCAAACATATAAACACAAACACTCACCTTATAATTTTTTCAAAGAAAAAGGTGTTGCAGAGATAATAAGAAATTTAAAATTTTTTCCAGAGAAGTCTATGTGACCAGGTAATCCAAAACATTGCTAGATGACTTCCTATTGTTTGGCAGTAAGCTATTGTTACCAATCTATCTAAAGAAAAACTTTCAAATTCTTATTTTTAATCAATATATATGAAATGTTCCTTCACTGGGTAGTGTTCCTTCACTGGTTGGTTCACCCTATACTGAAAACTAAAAACTTTCAGAAAAATATATATTTTGAACAAAAATAAAAGAAAAATTTTATGAATTTATATAAAGCTTGTTTGCAGCGATATTAAGCCTTTTTATAATATCAGCGATTTGGTAACTAAGAGCTGTTTCTAATCGAAATAGAATTTCATTTCAAGTAATAGAACTTACATATTAATTAGAGCTTTAGTTTCCCATGATAAGTCAGCACTAGTAAAATCAACATGGATAATTTCGGGACGAATTTGAGATAATTTCACGGAATTAGTATTTTTAGAAGTATATCCAACTAAGTAATTCCTTCGATGATAGTTACGATTTTAAAATGTGTTTCTGTATATGTAAATAATGTTAAGTCAACGGGAGTGAATAAATGAAAATTGAAGTTACATACATTGGAACAGGAAAACTGTGTTTGTGGTAAACTTTGACTATGACGGATTGAATTATATTATCTGTACAGTTAACCGTTCTCTGTAAGTTGAACTTCTAAAATATTTTTTAACAAACCTAATAATGTACATTTAATGAGAATGGCAACAATTCTTTAAAAAATATACTTATACTAGTGGGCTGCGCCCCCTGCTCNTTGTATTTTTGACATACTTTTGATGCAAAACATCACTAAAGGTACAAAAAAATTAAAGTTGTTCCTTCACTGGTTTTTCATCGTTTGGTAATCCAGTGAATAAACACCCCCCTATCTCAGTAATTGATGATGCTATGATGCTTAAAAAAATAAAACGTAACTTCAATAACTATATTTTGAATTCTTATTTTCACAGTGAAAAAAATAAAACCATTACATGCAATTAATTCCACTTCAAACATATCAATACAAACACTCACCTTATAATTTTTTCAAAGAAAAAGGTGTTGCAGAGATAATAAGAAATTTAAAATTTTTTCCAGAGAAGTCTATGTGACCAGGTAATCCAAAACATTGCTAGATGACTTCCTATTGTTTGGCAGTAAGCTATTGTTACCAATCTATCTAAAGAAAAACTTTCAAATTCTTATTTTTAATCAATATATATGAAATGTTCCTTCACTGGGTAGTGTTCCTTCACTGGTTGGTTTACCCTATACTGAAAACTAAAAACTTTCAGAAATATATATATTTTGAACAAAAATAAAAGAAAAATTTCACGAATTTATATAAAGCTTGTTTGCAGCGATATTAAGCCTTTTTATAATATCAGCGATTTGGTAACTAAGAGCTGCTTCTAATAGAAATTGAATTTTATCTTCAGCAAATCGAACTTACATATTAATTATTTATCTTTAATTTCCCATGATAAGTCAGCACTAGTAAAATCAACATGGATAATTTCGGGATGAATTTGAAATAATTTCACGGAATTAGTATTTTTAGAAGTACATCCAACTAAGTAATTCCTTCGATGATGTTACGATTTTAAAATGTGTTTCAGTAAATGTAAATAATGTTAAGTCAACGGGAATGAATAAATGAAAATTGAAGTTATATACATTGGAACAGGAAAACTGTGTTTGTGGTAAACTTTGACTGTGACAGATTAAATTATATTATGGGTACAGTTAACCGTTCTCGGTAAGTTGCACTTCTAAAATATTTTTTACCAAATCTAATAATGTACATTTAATGAGAATGGCAACAATTCTTTAAAAAATATACTTATAAATGATTTAATAAGAGTCCATTCTGTTTTATAATTTTAAAAGAGTTTACAAGATTTAAAATTTGCAAATAACGTGATATTAGTGCCTTAAAACTTATTGGAAAAATATTATTGCTATTAGTGGTATATATATTAACTTTTGTAACTGTCAAAATATGTAGTTTCAAACATATTTTTGCAAAACATCCTTTCAGGTAAAAACCTTTCCCGAAAAACTAAGTGAATGCTCTTTTTTTTACAGCTTGGAAGTGTGAATGTTTTGATAATTTTATTTAACATTAGCTGAATAACCGTTTTTAGTTCAGAGTAGAGAAAAGTAAGAAATCAATTTATCAACACTACGAAATCTTGCACAAAACTAAAAGACTTATACAACCGCAATTAATAAAACTAAAATAATTCTCTTTTTCATATTTGTTATAATAATTTGTCATTCCCGGTGGTTTAACATTATTATAGTAAGCAAAGCACGTATTTACTAGTTCGAATGTACTAATATATTACGTTATACCTATATTTGCACATTTGGTACTTATTAAAACGGCACTAATTGCAATAATACCAATAGTGCCTATAACCACAATTTTTTTTCCTTATGCTCACCCGATTGTCAGTTGTCATTTAGGTATTAGTAGGGCAGATTTGTTAGCCACTCCTTCAAGGACACCATATTAGGTGGGCCAACGTTACTCCCACAGTAAGGACGGATAGCATAGAGAATGAGAATACACCCGCGCCTTTTCCGGGATACGAACCCAGGACCTCTTCCTGAAAGGAGGTCAGATCCCTGATCCGGTCGGCCAATTACCAAAATTGATTAAGTATTACTGGAGTCAATAATAATATGGGTATATTTTTACATTTCTCCTAAATGAGTTAGGAGCATTTCTCTAATAATTTTGATTGATAGTACTTAGAAGTTATTGTTTTTCTTTTTTCATTTTAGCTTGTAATTATTACCAAAATTAATGAAGCATGATTGGCGTCAATAATAGTTTTCGATTTTTTACGCTTCCTTTAAACGGATTAGTACCATTTCTCCATTAATATTACTTTTAACATGGCTAGGAACATTCACTGATATAGTCTTTAAAATCTTTGAAAGAGAGAAAATCGTCTGCAGTCTAATTTTTATCAATTTTCGAATTCTAAAGAGAATGAAAACGTTCCATTTTTTCGTCTGCCGAATGAATTAATTGAAAATTTCGAACGAATTTTAGCAACGGGGGATAAATTTAGCCCTTGCAGTCGTTGTCCAAATTTCAGGATGATAGAATAAGCTTTTCTGCAGTGACACGAAACAGATACAGGCGGACAAACTCTTCATTGTATTATCATAGATGTTCACCGAAGTTATTCCTAGCTGAAAGTAAATGAAGGTACTTCGTAGAAATATGTTGACAGTACCAAAGTAATGATATACATGTTAGTTTAGCCTTATATATATAATTTATGTAACAATGTTATTATTAGTCATTTTGCTTACAAGGGAAGCTAGGGAAGTGTGACTCACCAATTTTGAAATAAACTAGTGGGATATATGCCTTATAAGGAATAATTTTAGAGGGAAACATTCGTTTCGGCCCATAGAAGGTCCTGTGAGAGATAAAAAATATTCAAAATATAGAAAAATCGGTGTTTTATTACTTTAATGCAGAGTATTAGTTATTGTAATTATCTCATACTCCAATTAATTTTGTGGTACTTTCACGTACTATATAATGCATATTTATTGTCAAAATTGATTTCGAAAATTTTATATATCTGTAGTTTTTCAGAAAAACCNTATGTCAAGGTACGTCTCTTGTGAATATCAATTGATTGTTAGGTTTTCTCTTCTGAAATTACGTTATGACGCATTCACATACATTATTCCAGGGCGAGACGAACCACAAGCACTTCCACTGGTTCGAGAGGTCCACGAGGGAAAAATGCACAATATTACCGTGATTACAGAGCACGGAAACGAGTGGAGCAGGAAAGAGAGTCGTTGAATAGAACTAGTGATCCTTCTACGACTGCTGATTCTTCTACAATTAACGTCGCAGGTTGCGAAGTTTAACTTCTTCCGCGCGGAGGGACTCCACGTACTATTTTTTTTTCTTCTTATGCTCACCCGATTAGCAGTTGTCATTTAGGTATTAGTAGGGCAAATTTGTTAGTCACTCCTTCAAGAACACCGTATTAGATGGGCCAACGTTACCATCACAGTAAGGACGGATAGCATAGAGAAGGAGAGTACACCCGCGCCTTTTCCGGGATACGAACCCAGATTCCTGACCACTACACAGTCCGGTCGGCCAATTACCAAAATTAATAAAGTATTACTGGAGTCAATAATAATATGGGTATATTTTTACATTTCTCCTAAACGAGTTAGGAACATTTCTCTAATAATTTTGATTGATAGTACTTAGAATTTATTGTTTTTCTTTTTCATTTCAATTTGTAATTATTACCAAAATTAATGAAGCATGATTGGCGTCAATAATAGTTTTCGTTTTTCTCTTAAAGGGATTAGTACCATTTCTCCATTAATATTACTTTTAACATAGCTAGGAAAACTCACCGATATAGTCTTTAAAATCTTTGAAAGAAAGAAAATCGTCTATAGTCTCATTTTTATCAATTTTCGAATTCTAACCGAATGAAAACATTCCATTTTTTTATACGGCTCTGCCGAATGAATTAATTGAAAATTTCGAACGAATTTTAGCATCGGGGATAAATTTACCCCTTGCAGTCGTCCAAATTTCAGGATGATAGAATAAGTTTTTCTAGAGTAACAAGAAACACACGCAGATATACAGGTGGACAAACTCTTCATTGTATTATCATAGATGTTCACCGAAGTTATTCCTAACTGAAAGTAAGTCAAGGTACTTCGTAGAAATATGTTGACAGTATCAAAATAATGATATGCATGTTAGGTGAGCCTTATACAGGGTTATTCATATCATAATTCCCTCCGCCTGTAAACGTCATTTTTCTTTACTACAACTGGCTTCAGTGGTACATGTTACTGCCATCTACAGGCAACTGCTTAAATTAAAACTTGAATACTTTCGGAATAATTTCATATGTTCTTTTTTGCCATATTCGTCTTCGTTTTTTTACTATAACGCTTCGAAACCCTGGAGGGAGTTATGAATAACCCTGTATATATCATTTATGCAACAATGTTATTATTAGTCATTTTGCTTTGAGAATAGATGTTAAGCCCTATTAGCAGTCTTGTAATTTGAATTTTAATGTTATAAAGAACAACACTGTGTCTTTGAAATTAAATACAATGCACTAGTTATTTTTAAAAAAAACAATATTTGTTTCGAATTGGTTTTATTGCGGTGATGTGATTATTATAGTAGAGAAGTTAAAGTGCTCGTGTGAATATTTGCACCATATCTATCATATGAAAATATTAATAAACTTTAAATTCTCTTGTGATTTTTTTATGACTAAATTGGAGTACGCCGATGAAAGATGATTAATCATGTTTTATGATTTAAAGCAACTGTCTCATTTTATGAATTTAGCTTTATCCAGATATAACCAGAGTTAATAACGAAGTGCAGTTTCAACCATTGTTTACATAAAGAATATTACAAACCTAAAATATTATTACTCTAGTTCATTCTAAATATCGGGACAGCCTTACATATAACAGTAAAGTTATTCTTCTAGTTTATCTTTGGTTCTACAAAACTAAAAATAAATCACGTTACAGTTTGCAAGTATACTGATTAACCTACTTTAATGATTATACATAAATAAAAGCGGAATAATTTTTTTACGTTGAATATCATTTCTTTACAGTTTTGTAGCATTCAGTTATAATTATTGTAAACTTTTGTATACTAGCTTTTGGAGATTCAGGTCACAGTTCTGGCAGCGGTTCCTCATTTTCTATTTCTAAGACGCAGTCAAAAAATGATGAGTCAAATGAAAATCAGTCTTCTAACAACGTTGACCAATTTATCCATTGTCTTAAGGAACACGAATTTGCTTTTGTTGACTGCTTCAGAAATGTAGGAATCATCACAACAAAAAAAATTCCAGAGATGACAAAGAGGGAGTTCAAAGATTTTCAATGCGCGTAAGTTACATCATCTTTTTACTTTATTTTTCTTCTATGAAAAAATGGTATAAGTTTCAAGTCTAAAACTATTTATAACAGTTATTCAGATTACAATTTATGGATATTATGAATTAAATTACAATTTATGGATATTTTAAGTCCTAGCCAGAATAAGAAATGTTAAAAGAAAATGACCACTCAGTTTTATGTAGTGTTTTCGTATATTTTAAATTATTTTTTTATCTATATAAGTAAAGCAGAATGCTTATATGTATGTACCTTATACAAATTCATAATTCTACTTAGATCCACAAAGAATTTGGTGTATACTAAACGTGGTGTATACTAAAATTGGTGTCTTTGAATGTTTAACGAACGAACGCTGATAAGTCCGTCGGCGGACTTATCAGCGATAAGTCCGATAAGTCCGTCGGCGGACTTATCGGTCTACTTTAAAACTCCTCCCTATCAGCTGTTCCATCGCAAAGAAAGAATTTTTTATGACATTTGATAAGGATTTAAGTATATGAGTGATGTGTTAGCTCTAATCAATCAAAAGTTAGATTGATCGTGCGTTCTCGTGATCGTCATCTTAAGGCCTGTTTACACGGTCCAAGTTCTCGAATCCGAGAAATTGGACGGATTTCTCTGTCCAAGAAATTGGATGATTCGTTGACACTATCCAAGCTCTTGAATGTCACTGATTCGTTGGAAGAAAAACTTGCGCATTGTTCATATTCAACATTATAAAACAATACTTACATAAGTTTAAAATTACTAAATAAATTCAAATAAAATCATAGTAACACAAATAAACCGCAACAGATTAATTTATTTGGAGTAAAATATATGAAAACAGACAACAAAATGACATAATTTGCTGTCTGCTTGTTGACGTCACAAAACCTAAGAGGCTGATTGGTTAAGGGAGAAAAAACTTGGATGGAAAGTACAACATGCTCTACTATCGTCCAAGAAATTGGTCCAAGTTCTTGGATGATTGTTTACACGATCCAAGCTCAAAGCAAAACAAGTTTCCATCAATATCAATCAATCTCTGTCCAAGAAATTGGATCGTCTAAACAGGCCTTTAGGTTTCCTATGTTAGGTTATCACAAGTTAAATCAACGTTAATAATTTAGCAACCTATAGGAATGAACGTCTTCGAATTCGTATATTAAATAAAAGGTATATGAAATCACGTATTTCTTATCTTGATCCTTACGCTCCTAAAGCGTGTTTCTATAAATGTAATGAGTGGAAATTCAACAAGAGCTAATGAAATAAAATTGTGCGTGGAGTCCCTCCGCGCGGAAGAAGTTAAACTTCGCAACCTACGACGTTAATTGTAGAAGAATCAGCAGTCGTAGAAGGATCACTAGTTCTATTCAACGACTCTTTTTCCTGCTCGCTTTCGTGCTCTGTAATCACGGTAATATTGTGCACTAGGAGGCTCCGCCCCCTCCTCGCTAACGCTCGCCAACCCCCGAGAATTGCTACGCAATCCNAATGAGCAGCTTAAGGGAGTTCTAATGCTTTGTCATCGAATTTAAATATTAAATAAAAGGTATATAAAATCACGTATTTCTTACCTTAATCCTTATGCTCGTAAAGCGTGTTTCTATAAATGTAATGAGTGGAAATTCAACAAGAGCTAATGAAATAAAATTGAAACTATCTATTTCGTGTCATTGAAAAATGATTGCCAATTCGGAATATCACACTTTAAATGACACTGCGTCCATGGTTAATCTTTCTTTTCGTGAATCAAACTCAGATTATAGTGTAATCTAACAGTATGAACCTGCACTAGTATACAGCAACGAATAATAAAAATAAAAGTTTTAGATTAGGTGCAGTGAAGGTGTAAAATAGTGATATTAGGATGGGTCTCTGTTTGAGAAGGCGCTGAAGAAATGTACTAACACAGTACTTATATTATGCACCTCGGTATAATAACTTCTCATAACAGTTATTACCACAGTCTTTATAACGCTATTACCAGAAGTGTTGAAAACCACATTTAATTCAGCTTTACTGGCATCAATAATAGTTAGGCGGTTTTTACAGTCTTAGAAAAAAGTACTGATACTAGTTCATTCGCCAAAAATGATTATAAATATATTTGAGTCGTTACTCTTTATTTTGGAGAATTATAAGTCACTAATTTTGGCAATAGTTAGAAATTCAATTTTAAAAAAATAGTTCTAAAATGCCGAATTAATAGATATAACATACTAATTCATGCATGTGAACGTAAAATATTGATATATTGTTATCGGCAACAATGATGCATAATTAATTTTGATATAAGGAGAACAAATTGAATTGAAAAAAAAAAACTTTTTTTACCAAAAAGCTAATTTAAAGAACGAAAAGGTACTCCTTCCTCTAAAAAAAAAAAAAGCATAAAAAGTCACCTGATTATTATTGAAACTAATGATGCTCAATTGATTTTAAGTAAAGGCTACTACTACTATTATGTTGATTTGCGCTTCTTAATAAATGCTAAAGGTACTACTATTAGTACCAGGATACCGCTGTGGAATTGGTTTTTGTGGCCCACCGAAAAGGCTATGTATAGAAGAAATGAATAGGAATTGACTTTGCTTAATTTATTTGCGTTGGTATTTATCTTTCAGTTTTGTGTATGACTTCGCATGATGAATTAATATTGATCATTTACTTTTCATCCCTTCAGAAGAAAGGGTGTTCAGCTTCATTTGTTAGTACAATCTTAATATTAATCTTCAACTCTTAAACAGTTTTCAAAGAGAAAAACATATGTGTAAAATATATTTTGATTGTAAAAACATTGGTGATTTATGATATAATGAATTTACTTGGCTTCATTTAGCTTTATCAGTGCTTATTTTTTTAGAGTGAAACGTATCATGCATTTCATTGGCACTATTAAATTTCAGTTTATCGTTTCTTCAAGAATGTGTAGTTGATCTTTAGATCTTTAAACAACTATAAAAAACTGAAGCTTTGAACATAAAGCACAAACGCAGCAAAAAAAAAAAAATGTGAGCACCTTAAATTACTTTATTCAAATGATATGCGACTAAATATACGATGTTTTGAAATTCGACAATTCAGAAACTATTCCGATTTTTTTCAAATTTTGCATTTTTTCCATTTTTTAAAATTACATTATTTAAAATAATGCAAAAATTTGCCTTAAAAATTCAATTTTTTTTAAACTATTATTAAAAAAATAATGACAATAAATAATAAATAAATATTTAAAGTGTCTTTCATTTAAACTTTCAACTGATCACCTGCCTTAGCTTTCGGATCCATAGTTTTCAAATAATGTTACTTACGTCTGCACTCATTAATTTTGATATTCAAGGATAGGCTATTGAGTCATAAAGATTTAGTCCTAAGTGGAACGTGAAAATTCGATTACTCGATCAAAAGTTACTCAGGACATNTGCGTTTTTTCGAGCCCTGTTAGTTTCCATTGCTCATTTAGCTTTAGCAGTGCTTATTTTTTTAGAGTGAAACGTATCATGCATTTCATTGGTACTATTAAATTTCAGTTTATCGTTTCTTCAAGAATGTGTAGTTGATCTTTAAACAGCTATAAAAAACTGAAGCTTTGAATATAAAGCACAAACGCAGCAACAAAAAAAAAATTTGAGCACCTTAAATTACTTTATTCAAATGATATGCGACTAAATATACGATGTTTTAAGATTCGACCATTCAGAAACTATTCCGATTTCGTTCAAATTTTGCCTTTTTTCCATTTTTTAAAATTACATTATTTAAAATAATGTAAAAATTTGCCTTAAAAATTCAATTTTTTTGAACTATTATTAAAAAAATAATGATAATAAATAATAAATAATTATTTAAAGTGTCTTTCATTTAAACTTTCAACTGATCACCTGCCTTAGCTTTCGGATCCATAGTTTTCAAATAATGTTACTTACGTCTGTACTCATTAATTTTGATATTCAAGGATAGGCTATTGAGTCATAAAGATTTAGTCCTACGGGGAACGTGAAAATTCGATTACTCGATCAAAAGTTACTCAGGACATTCACTTTCAGTTTTTGCATACATGTGCATTAATGAATTAGTGTAATGATGAATATATTTTAAATGCGGATATTCATTTAAGTGGCCATAGTTCTTCTTCAAAATTTAATATAATGTTGTAAATTCAAGTTTGTTACTCTCATAAGTATTTTGAAAAAGAACAAGAAATTATTAGAATTAAAGCTTTTATTTTAACACTTCTGTATGCAAACTGTCTTACGATACTAACAAGCTGATAATTTTTAATACACATCACACAAAATACAAATGAGTTTCCACCCTAATAGAAAAGTTTTTCTTAAATTATAAGATAGATTACACACATAATAAGATATATTTTTCTTAAATTATTTATTGTGTTCCTTTTTTATTTTAGATTGCAGAATTCAACTATTTCTTGTTTCAATCTGAAAGATGACGTTTACTGCAAAGATGTTGATAATCCTTTGCAAAATCTCTTTACAGAAATTACTCCAGATTTAAACTATAAATGTAACACAACTGGCATTATCAAGACTCAGTTAGTTGAATTCTCCATTTAATGAAGTACATTTCAAATAAAGATTTATATTGTAAACATTTTTTTGAATGTTACTCCTACAATACCAAGAGGGGGGAAAAAAACTTTAAATACTTAGCAGGAGGCAATAGGAACTCAATTGGTCATTTAATATTGTTTTGTTTTTTTGCGCTTAAAATATATGCTAAAATTATTTAGTATCTTTCCTTAGTTTTAGCTTTTTTTTCAAAAAGTTTAGAAATTTGTTTATTAAGAGAAACGAAGTAAGTATGTACCTTAAGATAAAATAATACTACTCTTAAAAGTGCAGCAAAGCTGAAAAATGAGCAGCTTAAGGAAGTTATAATGCTTTCCAAAAATTGTATGTAATTGTATTTGTAATATTTAACACTTGCGCTTGTTTTGTTAATTAAAATACTCTTGTTATTGTTAAAATTACCTTTTTTTCTCTTTCTAATAAATGTTCATTGCCACTATTAAATTGGAACTTTATCTTTTGATCATGTTCTTAACTTTATACCTTTAAAACATTTTAACATTATAGCTAATTAGAAACTATCTAATAAACACTATTAATTTCAAAATGGATTTTGATTTTTGTTTAGGATCAGAAAGGATAAAAATTGTTCTGATGCACAGAAATTAAATAGTACTTGTAGTTTTTTTTTTACATTAATGATTAATTAATGTTAGTCTATATTTTGAAAAGCAAATTAGGAAGATTAGAGAATTAATTGATGCTTTAACCACATTCATTAATGTCTCTAATTACTTAAAGCTTCAATTTAAAATATTTTGTCAAACAAAAGGTTAATGTGTTCTATTGTCATTGTTGTTAAAAAAAGAAATTCTGCAATATAAGAAAAAATAACAGCCTATCAACCTTGTGCTCAATATTTTTTGTGTGCTTTATTAAATAAATATTTGCTCACAAAAAAACAAGAAAAAAAGGGGATTACTCCGAGTAACTCTTGATTTGATTATCAGATTTTCATTAACTCGATGGTTCAAGGGGTAGACTTAATTATTTAGCGCAAATTATTTCTTAAGTTAGAATATCAGACACACTAACTAACTTTTTCTTTCAAAAGCATGTCTTTTTTTTTGGACATTTAATTCTCAAAATATGGTGGAAAAGTATTTAACACTAATTATCATTAATGTATTTAGTAAAACTATTTTACAACTTACCTTTAAAATAAAATAAAAAGTCGTATTTATTGGGTCCACTGGAACCGATGTGACTTTTGAGCCCACGGAGATAAGGCCACATCTAACACAACTTAGAAGATAGACGACTGGTGGTGGACTAACAGTATCTGTGAGTAAATGTTGATGTTAGTAAGACTACCAGATAGACAAGTGAATTTAATGATTCTTTGGAAGGCGAGTGAATTTAATTTTGTGAAGGCTCTCTAATTTTTTTATCGCCTCAAATAGAAAATAATGACGAAAAGTGATTAAAAAAAGTTTCCATCTAAAAATTAACTAGTATTCGATGAACTTATTATATATATACAGAAGTGGTATCGATGCAAATTAGAAATTTGATCAGAATACGTTATCATCGAATTTTTTTGTCGAAATGTAAACAATGGCTAAAGAAAAAATTTAATTTGCCCAGATTTTAAAATCTTTTTTCATTTGTCAGTAGTTTAAATTATTTATGACTTGTAATATTTTAATAATTGTCCCATCTAAATAAGCTGACCATCGTCCACAAGAAATCAAAAGACTAGTAGTGAAATTTTTATACGGACATTTGAAAACTTAGAGCTTCGCCTTTAAAATTTAATATTTCGAGAATAGAAATCTCTTCGGATATTCTCCAACAGAAATATTTTTTTTTAAAAAAGTAATTAGATAGGCAAAAAGATGCGCGAGCCTTGATTGCTCAGTGGTTAAGGCACTGGGTTGTCATTCAGAAGAACTGGGGTTCGGTCCCTGGTGGCGGCTTGAAGCCCACCTAACCTCAGATTTATAGGTACCAACTTAAAAGAAGTCCGTCGGAAGAAAGTCGATAGATGCGCAATGCTGACCACAATCCTACCATAATGCCCTTCGTCTTGAAATTGTGGAGACTTAAACTTGCATGAACACACACAATGAGCTGTCGCGGAAATGCTTTACTTTTAAGGGGTGAGTTTTCGAATGCTCTTTTCGAAATTTTGCTACTATTATTTTAGTTTACGGGGAATTCTGATCAGCTTGCATCTGAATCAGGTGAAGTGAAAAGTTGTCGTAAAAAAATAAAATATTTGATTGTTGTCTATCTCAAATGTTTAATATATACTAATATATTAAGCATTTGGAGAGAGAAAAATTCAGTTGAAGAACTCTGACTCAGTTGACTAGCAAAGGGATAATTTGTGATGGACAACATTCAAATATTTTATTTCTTTACGACAACTTTTCACTAACATGTTCCAATTATAATTTTAAAATGAACAAAATCAGCACTGGTAATTCGATCCAGCAGTTACAGTAGTATGACTTGTAAATCAGCTAAAGACTAGAAGAGTTTCTCAACTTGTTACAACTCAAGCATTCGAGAGGGTTTATAGTTAATGCGAAAACAGAACTGTTGTCTTTGTTGAAAGATATCATCCTCCAGGCATCTTTTTTAAAAATCACATTCAAAGAGAGTTACAATACTTTCACCTTCTGGGGATGGAAAAAATTACAAATAGTGAGTTTATCTTATTTGTTATCGTTTTCCTTAAAAAAAATATAAAATGAAGCTAAAAATGAAGATTTGGATGATGCCATTCTGTTGAAAATTCTCATATTTACATTCTAACACTGCTATTTCACACAAACGCCTCCATTTCTAAGTATAATCTTCAAACATATTTTTTTCCTTTTCATTTCTTTTTCAATAAAATAAAATAGAAATCTAATGAAAAATTTTAATATATCTATAATATTGCTTTCAGTATAACTCATATTAAAGTAGATTCGACTTTGATCTACTCTAACAATGCTTAATGAAAAAAATCTCTCCTTTTTTCCCAGTTAACACTATACTTTATGTTTTAAAAATGTGTACTCAGCTTTCTTATATTTATTTACACTTAAGATTTACGCTTTTACGGCAGAAATTCTTCATACTATAGTGGGCGACAATATACCTTTACAAAAAAACAGTCAAACAATTTCGCTCTTTTATAAAATTCTCATCTAAGGAATCAACAGAATATTTTCTTAAGGAAACAACAACAACAACAAAAATGTTTTCTAAAATTATTTCCCTTAGTCTTCTGGTGTTATGTTTTATAACATTTGGTAAGTTTGGATTTTTATTTCGTGTACATATTTAAACTTAAGTGGAGTATAGGCGTTTGATTAGAAGAAAAAAGAATTATAATATTTTTTTCTTCTTTATTTCATTTTCCTTATGTTTTTTAAAACTATCGTTTCCATTTATTAAAGTCGTAAAAATTTTTAAAAACACTCACAAAACTGACGCTCCACAATTTTTCGTTTTGCTCTGTCGAAAATAAAATGTGTCTTTCCTTTTTTTAGTTCACTTTATCATTTAGTTTCAGTATCAGTTCAGTTAGTTTCACTTATCAGTTAGTTCTTCTTATCAGTTAGTTTGCTGATGGAAAAAGGTTTTTTCCAACCAATTTTCCAATTGGTGATCTAATTATGACGAATTATGCTCGCATCAGTTAGAAATAAATTGAAACTTGTATTTCTGTCAGGCACAGAGCTCTAAAGAAATTTAAACACTCCAAGTAGTCGGAAGGTGGTCGGATTTCGACTAACGATACATTTAATTTGGTGATAAATCCTGTCTGTAGCGACTAGGAAACCATTTAAACTTATATGGTTTATTTATATTTAAATTAAATTTGTATGGTAATATATACATAGAACTGAAGATGAAATTTAATCAAGTCATAAAGAAAACTTCAGTGGAGGACAACTATTGAGTGATTCTGCTAGTATAGCTTAACTTAAATCTATCATTTTAATAAATTTATGAACTAATTTTATTCTGGGAACGGCTGAACTTGTAACCATTCGTTTGCAGGCTGGCTCATGAAAGGCCGTGTTAAGATTAGATGTAAAGCATCTTTAACAGACTTGGAATGGCAAATTGGATTTTGATGCTGTAAAGAACGGTATTGTGCCTTTTAAATTGCTAAATACAAAACAATCGCTATTTTCAATAAAAAAATATTTGTTACAAACTTATAATATTTTCTTTAAAACGGCCATGTAAGGATACTTAATTCATTTAATTAAAAACATGTCTAATTTACGAAAATGATAATAGTTTAAAATCTCCTTGTATTTTTAAACGAAATTGAAAGGCACTGATAATTTTTAAAAGTAATAAATTACTTTTTATACCTTTAGTTTTTATCTCATTTCATAAATTGGCTTTGTCCATATATGACCAAAACTAATACGAAAGCATAGCTGACAACGTCAAACATTCGATTTATAGAAGGCGTTACAAACCAAACAGTAAGGACATTCTTGCTTTTATGCCAGTCCATTTCAGAATACTGAGACAACCTTCTAAATAACATTTATTTTGTTGATCTAGTTTAGCCTTGATTGTTGATACATAAATAGCTAATCATTACTTAATATTTTTTTATGAATTGGAAATACGCCAACTTTTACTAAAAATAACTCTTGATGTAGCGAGTGAAAAATATTATAAAGTAAAAAGAAAAGACTTATAGTGATATATTTGAGTCATTTAAGGACCAGCAAATAAGTGAATAACTGGAATAGCTTATAAATAAACCGAAAAAATTTAGGAGCCCATAATTTGTTGTATCGCAGACACAATAAATATTCAAATAATTTCCTCTATTTCAGTCTCAGCTGAACCGATTTTCGATATTATTTTAACCTCATTAAATATTGCTGAAAAACAGACTTCACAAAGTATATAGGACAAAAGTGGGAAAATTCATGGTATGTCTGATGACGCAACGCTAATTTTGACGATAATTTTCCTACATGTTCTTTGTTTTATCGGATCCTCTACGTTTGTTGTCAAAGCCATAAAATGTTTAATTCTATATAACTTGACGAGAATAGTAAATAAACCGTTGATCTTTCTCCTAAAAGGTCTACGTAAATACGTCATTAATACGTAACACATCGCTTACAAGCACCATTATGTAATTTGTATTAATCATATATGCTTGAAAACCATGAAATATAACTTATTTTAAAACTATGCTACTTACATATAATAAATGTACTATGTAAGATTTAAAATTTAACTTGTGAACATTATTAAAGTTATGAATCTTAATTTTTTCCCAATATTCAAAAACAGCATAATATTTCATTTCGAATACGTGATTTCGAGCTCTGCATTTATTTAAATCTATGCATTTTTTTTATTTCTGAAGCATTATTATTATTACGATAATATTGACAACTATACTCATATTATTATTAGAATATTTTTTTAAAAAAAATAAAGTTTCTTTAAGACAAAAAACAAACCAAAAATAATCTTTTTTTAAAAAAAAATAACATTAGAAACACTACTTCTTTTTTTTAATTGAGAGAAAGGACTTTTTGCGTAAAAATAATGAAACGATAAACGTAATATAGAACCTTTAAAAATAATAGTTAGAGCTTTAGAATTGTGCAGAGTGATTCAGCACAACAGATTACTAATAATAAGGTATGTTTATTCAGAGAAAGTACGTTTTTGTGTCACAACTTAAAAAATAGTCTACACTAATTAATTAGCATATTTATGTTTTCACTAATTAATTAACATATTATGTATTCAGAATCCGATCATTAAACAAAAAGTTATTTGGGTTGGCCCGTTTCTTTTTCCAGCTCACTGTGCATTCTATTAATTAAAAATTAAATTAAATAAAGCAATTTTAAGTAACTCCTATCACTTCAAACAATATAGAGCAGTACGTCATATAGTTATAATTTGTCAATTCGCATAAATTATAAATCGCATGAAATTTTAGAAGGGTATTTACAACAAGGGTCTACATCTAAATGCGTCGAAATAGGCTAAGAATTTTTTCACCTTATTCACATTAAAAAAGCATGCGCAAGAATGTGCAAAATGTGTAAGAATAATATTACATTCCAAAATCCCTGAAATACACCATTTGGAAAACTTGTGTTTAAAGGAAAGATTCTGTGTTACTATAAATGAAATTTTAATTTAACTCATCACGTGATATTGCCAAAAATAATGAACCCCTTACAGAGTTCGAAGAACCTAGTTAAACTCTTGCCTATACTTGAAACCACTTTATTTTTTTAGTCGTTAAACACCCTTTCTTCATACGAGATAAAATAAAAAGTAAATTAAATATTTATAGGTATTCATCAACACAACCTAATCATACACAAAACAGAGAGATGTCACTGATAAGAAAGTAAATAAAAAATATTTCTTTTTAATTGGTGAAAGCTGAAATATATTAGATTGAGAAAAACACGTTTTTGGAAGTTCAATGGTTTAGAATATAGTTTAACAATGATAAATTAGATACCAAAAATGACGCTACTCTTCTCATAAAACTCAAAATTGATATTTGTCATAATCAAGCAAATTTTTCATTAACCCTTTACGAGGCAGAAAAATTTCGCCAGAAAAAGCCAAAAGCCAGAGTTGTATCTCACCCGTTCAGAATAGTATAAAACTTATTAAAACTTTAATGTTATGACCAAAACAACTGAAAAAGTGTTAATCTGAAAGTATTTATTTTGTACTTTAGTGCATAAATTAGCATTTTCTTTTCGAAATACTGCTGACTCTGAATTATTTATACTTATTCAGAGAAACACTCTTCAAATGCGTAACTATAAAAAATTATCTTGTCGTTTCAGATAGTTTTCTAACTACGCATTAATTCGGAACGTTAATTCACATTGGGTTTGCTCACATGACATAATCGATCAAAGATAAATAATTATTAACGAAAGTGGAATAAAATCTCACTGAAACTCGCTTTCGATGAAACAGAGATGTAAGCTAGTATTCTTCACTTATGAAATTTTTTTTTTAACAAATTTAAAAAAAGAAACAGAATTGTCTGCAGTTTAATTTAAAACAATGCCCAATATTAAACCTATGAGAAAAAATTCTTTTTTAAACATCCCACTTCAACGAGATGATTAAAATTTCTGAATAATGTTTAGGATTGAGGGCGAAATTTCAGGACTCTTATGTTCAAACAGTTTTGGAGTTATAAGAGACACCGGAAGACAAACGTACATACTGCTCTTTTTATTATTATAGACTAGCTGGAATTCCCATTCTACGTATGGTATGAAAAAAGTAAATAATCAATAGTTTAGTGTTGATAAATATTACAAAATCATGCACATAGATATTTCAGTATAATTAATAAAGCTGAAATAACCCCAATATTTTTGTTTTAATTTATTATTATTTGTTATCCTTCCAGGCGACTTCGCGTTATGAAATTAAGCAAAGCAGGCTTTTAGAAATTCATACAATCAAGATAAAGATTAAATATATTCATTGGCGTGATGCTGTTATTCGAGGCAAATTCATGATAGAATTAAAATTTAACACAATCAAGCAATTTACTCCGGTACTTATCAGGGGATGAAAGCATATTTTCACATTAAGAATTTAAGATATTGGTGCAGTTTTAATAGGAATGCATTATTAAACTAGTAATAGGTACAAAATATACTACTCTTTGTAATTGAATACAATGTTAATCTAATAGTAATGTAATATTTTGTTATCTAGTATCGCAGTTACCTACCTTAAAAATATATTAACAAATGATAGTATACTTAATTATTTGGTGCTAATTAACACTGTACCAATTACCGGAACAAAAGTGATATCTATTACCAAAATAAAAAATAGATCAATGACGTCATCAATAGATTTTTAGCGTTTCCAGGGATGAATAAATATCCTTTCTCCATTAACTTTGCTCCTTAGTGCATACTCATTATTTTAAATCAATTACCGCTAGTTTTAATTTATTTAGTTTTATAGAAACAAGTTTGTTTATTTTAAATGACATAATAAAATTCATTTTATATTAAACATCATTGATATTATATTATAAAATGCTTCATAACCATCGTTGAGCAGCTGACCCAATTTTTTGGTTCTACGTCTACTAATGTTCAACTCCTTAGCCTTGTTTTTTGAACCCATTCCAGAAGACAAGGAAACACCTGGATCAAATATTGGGGGAAATTTGCCTTCGGGGAGGACTTTTTGATGAACTTGAGTTACATGGTGAGGAAAACCTTCCACGGTTAGCCTGACGGCAAGGGAACGATTGTGGTCGGTGTAAGCCGGATGTGGAACCCGTATTGACCAGCCACCGCTAGGATTCGAACCTGGTTCACCTCATTGGAAGGTGAACGCTCTATCCCCTGATCTATCACGGCTCCTATAAATTATTTGAAGAAAAAAAATACAGATTCGTCTTTATTTTAATTTCAACAAAGTCTAATGCTAAACAAATGAGAACATGCCCTTTTTGAAAAAGCGCAGTTAAACCCAAATGAGCAATGTTTTGAAATGTAGTATAATTAAGTTTCGTTAATATGCCATTTTAATATGCCTCTTTAAATTTGTCGCATTTAATTTAATATATTTTATTAATTATCAGTGTTTAGTGATAGATTTCTATTTTTACAGTCTCTCAATTAGTCCTCAGCGATTCTAATGATACGTCAGAAAGAGGGGTTTCTAATCAAACGTCTGCAAGAAAGTCTTCTAATCATACGTCTAAAATGAAGTCTTCTAATCATACGTCTGATGATGATTTAAGCACTGAAAGTGATGAAGAAAAAATTGAAAAATTCCTTCTTTGCCTTGAAAATCATGAATTTGCTTACGTTGATTGCTTTAGAAATATAGGTATCGTCACTACAAAAGATATTTCAAATATGACTAGGGATGAAGCTCGAGATTTTACATGCGCGTAAGTATTTTTTTTTTATCAGTTCCTTTCATTTATTGATTAACTGATGATAAACTACGAATTAAATTTTTCAAAAATTCAATGTAAATGTAATTCGGTTTTCTTATTCGCATTTGAAACTCGCACTTCTTAAATTATGTTTATTTAGTCGAGAACAGTAGTTATCTACTTGTTTCATAATAACAAGTTGTTCAGTTTACTATTTTTTTTTAACTCTACAGTAATTTCCTTTGTGAAAAGAATTAGTTTTAACTAATGACAAATTAATTCAATATGAATGATTTAATATGAATGATTTAATATGAATATTCTCCACGTCTTTTGATTTTCATTTCAATTGTTAATGAAAGTGTTACTACCAGATTACTGTTGCAAAACCGAATCAGAAGTCTGGCTCTTAGAAAACATCAATTAAACAGAAAAAAGATTTATTAATGCAATTTTTTTAAATGAAAAGTAATAATTGTAATATCTATACTAGCATCAAAATAGTTGTCTAGTTTTGGTAATGAAGCCACTATATATTTAAAATTTATTTAAAGTACTTGGCTCCTCGTTATTTAATCCTGGTCTTGAACTGGTACCAATATAAAATTATTTCCTTTTCATGATGTTGTATCGCATAGCAATAGAAAAAGAAAACATTCGTTTCATTTTTTTGATTTCTTTTTCATATACTTAATATTGGCCTTAACCATTTTTCAAGGTAAAATAAAAAAAAAAAACATTTTTGCATACCGAGATATTTAAGAGTTAGTGTTTGAAGAAATTTTAAAATATTGAAAAAGGTTAATCAATTTCAATGATGTTTCTAACACTATAATGCGATTGAACTTTAACATGCAATAATCTCTCTCTATTAAAAAGTTGTAAGGGCCACAGCCGCTGTTTAGGGTGTTCAACTTAAAGTTACATTTTGTTTTGTTGCACAGAAACTTTAAGTTTGAAACTACAATGGTTACGTGTTGTCAGATATAAATCTTAGCATTTATAGCGAAATTTTTAAAAAATAAAAATAATAAATAATAATTAAACTTAATAAAAAGCGGTAAGAGCTGTTCACTATTGGAACTGTTGTAAGTTTCGTTAACGAGTAAAATCACTTCTCGTTTTTTTCTTCTTCTTCTTATTGAGTTGCGCATTCTGTTCTGCTTCAAATTCAGATGATTACTTTTTTAAATCCAGGTAATCGTCCATTTCATTATGATTAATACACTAATAAAATATTCCTAGATATAGCTTCAATAATTGTGTACATTTTGAAAACAAAATAGTCTGGGTTTTTGTAGAAAATATTGACGTTTGAGAGAAAAATGCAATGATGAATGAAAAGCATTTACTTGGGTTGGTGAGCGGTGCGAACAGAGGAGAAGCCTCCTAGAATTTATTAAAATTGCAAAACAAATTAAAGGACTTCAATGTTCCCCATTATAAGGAATAAAAACAGAAGTCAAGTTAAGCTCAAATTTTTATATTAATTGGCTTTATACTGAAATGGGTATTTTAGTGTGAGAAATATTAATTAATTTTTAAAATCATGTAAATGCACAAATAATAAATTTTATAACTATTACGAATTAATTCCAGTTACATTAAAAAAGCGAATATATAAACAAACAAGTGTAAAATATAATTACTTCGCAGAAATAATTTTTTTTTTAAAAATGTAATTTATTTTTCTTTTACATTCAGCATAATGTAAGTAGTTTTCATGGCATAATGCAGCAGTTTGCATTGTAAATAGGTGGTATGTCAAGCAGCCAACTTGTCATATTTCTGTCTATCTCTCTTACTTTAGGCCTTGGCGGCACACTAATCTTCCTGAAATCTTTTATTTTAATCTTTTCTAATTATTTGTTTGGATAACAATTACATTATACCCAGGCCACAATAGATTGCTATAGGAAACATAAAAACAAATTTTAGAACTATTGCGAAAGAACCCAGAACAAAATCAGATAAATTACTTTGAAATATGAAAAAGTGCGAAAAATGGCTCTCATTCCCATCCAGTGTTGCTTAACCCCTTCCTTCTCGCTGCCGTGAAAATGACGAGGTGAGGTTTTGCCCTCTATTTCTCGCTCCCGTGACATTGATGGGCTGGAGTGTTCAGTAGTAACGCGCCAATAAGAATAAATTCATTTCTTTTGTCTGGAAAAAATTTTATTTCTCATTTTACACACCAGATGGCAGTACCAGGATATTTTTAAGGTAATTGTAGATAGTTAGTTTATTTTAAACTAGACGCCAGCACTAATCAAATACGTAATACAAATACAAAAGCCAAAAAAAAAAAAAACTCTTTTATGACCGTTTTCTTGAAGATTAACAGATCATTAAGGGGTTAACGAGCAATAATAACGAATAATTTGAGAAGGCAAATGGAAAGTTGTCCTAACTTCAGTAGGCAGATAGGTACTTCATTTAGGTCACACTAGGGCTGCACAATAGGCTCATGGCAACGGTCTGGGAAACAGCCCTGGGAATGATCTGAAGACATGCAACAACAATTTTAATCCTCTGCAGAAAGGATCTCATTCGTGATGCTACTTCCTCAATTTAGACGAATACAAATCTAAAGGGGAAAGAAATTTTCTCCTGATCCCTGTACTCTGCTACCGAACACAGGATTTTCGATTCCACGGATTTCACGAGCAAGTATAGTTTGTGAACTGTAAGAACTCCTCCCCACACACACACACACAAACTTGTCCTAAACAGTGACCCCACACCCCTACTTGGAACAGTTATACCTCGTTACCATGGTCACCGCGACGGCTTCAGACGAATCGCTGGGGGAATTCTTACTTTAGACAAACTATATAGCAGTTTTAACTTCGACTATTATGAATGAACTTATTTCACTTTCAAAGAAAAGTTTTTTTCCTTTCCTTTTTTGCAAACATTCTCAACTAAAATAATGTTGATTACTTTTACAGCAAATCGTGCTCCATTGAATGTGTGATTATAAATATAAAAAAGATGAGNTCGCTCCCGTGATATTGACGCGCTGGAGTGTTCAGTAGTAACGTGCCAATAAGAATAAAACTAATTCATTTCTTTTGTCTGGAAAAAAAATTTATTTCTCATTTTACACACCAGATGGCAGTACCAGGATATTTTTAAGGTAATTGTAGATAGTTAGTTTATTTTAAACTAGACGCCAGCACTAATCAAATACGTAATACAAATGCAAAAGCCAAAAAATAGACTCTTTTATGACCGTTTTCTTGAAGATTAACAGATCGTTAAGGGGTTAACGAGCAATAATAACAAATAATTTGAGAAGGCAAATGGAAAGTTGTCCTAACTTCAGTAGGTAGATAAGTACTTCATTTAGGTCACACTAGGGCTGCACAATAGGCTCATGGCGACGGTCTGGGAATGATCTGAAGACATACAACCACATTTTTAATCCTCTGCAGAAAGGATCTCATTCGTGGGGCTACTTCCTCAATTTAGACAAATGCAAATCTAAAGGGGAAAGAAATTTTCTCCTGATCCCTGCACTCTGCTACCGACCACAGGACTTTCGATTCCACGGATTTCACGAGCAAGTATAGTTTGTGAACTGTAGGAACTCCTCCACACACACGCAAACTTGTCCTAAACAGTGACCCCACACCCCTACTTGGAACAGTTATACCTCGTTACCATGGTCACCGCCACGGCTTCAGACGAATCGCTGGGGGAATTCTTACTTTAGACAAACTATACAGCAGTTTTAACTTCGACTGTTATGAATGGACTTATTTCACTTTCAAAGAAAAGTTTTTTTTTCTTTCCTTTTTTGCAAACATTCTCAACTAAAATAATGTTGATTACTTTTGCAACAAATCGTGCTCCATTGAATGAGTGATTATTAAATATAAAAAAGATGAGAATATCTATATATTTATTTATATACACTATCCTACAACAATAGAAAATACACTTTCAGTTTATACTTAGAGGATTATTTTGTAACTTTCGAAATGTTTAGTTCATGTAGTTTTTCCTACTTTGCAATATAAAGCTTTCAAAGATTTGAGAGACCAACAAGAAATTACGAAAGAAAAAAGATATTTTTAAACACTCTGTGCCAGAAAATCAAGCAATAAGCTTGTAGCTCGTATCAACTACTTTAGTAGTTATTTTCAACAACTGCATAAAATTTCATAAATCTAGTTTAAATATTTATGGAGATTATGATCGTTTTTATGAAAAAGTTAATCTTTTTGTCGTATGTGTTTTTGCTATAACCTAGAAAATATTATGTAAAATTAAACAAAATTCTTGGGGCAATTTGAAATTAATTACAAATTATTGCTTCAAAACTTGAAAAAAAGTTAAAATATGTGCTAGGTATGAGTATTTAAAGTAGTTGTTTTGTACTGTGCATGAGCGGGAAAAATTCGAAATTACTTTTCATAATTTTGTAGTGATTCGTATTTGATTTCTAATGGAAAAAATGTGATTTAAATATCTTAAAAACGTAAGCTATTTCAAGCAATTTTCTAAGTAGTTTTTGTAAATTTTTTAAAAAGAAAAAGCTCAAAATAATCATAGTTTTTCACAAATTTTATTATGTTGTATTGCAAATTCTATCTTGTAACCAGACAACAACGACTCATTAGATGAATGCAGAGAAATTAGTTTTTTTTTTGTGTGTAAAACTTGTTCATCAGAGATAATTTTGTTTTTCATTTTATTTGCTGAATAATTGTCAGCCAGTACTTTGTATTAGTTATAAAGATTTGTTATAACTGTTTTCTCTGAAGAAAAGACTATTTTCTTAAAATGAAGTTTTTTTATATTTTTCAGATTGGAAAATTCAGAGATCAATTGCTTCAATCTAAAGAATAATGTTTACTGCAGAAATGACGTTGATCCTTTTCAAAATTTGTTTAGGGAAGTCACTCCAAATGTCACAGTTCAATGTAATAATACTGGAATTGTGAAGTTCCAGAGCGTTCAGTTTTCGATATAAAAATAAAATAGGCTAACAAATGTTTTTTTATAAATATTTGTCAATATTTTGTTAATATTCCACGAATATTTTTTCACCAAATGCATGTTTGATTGAATAAAATTTAGAAAAATGTTCTGCGTTTTTCTTTTCTTTTTTTGATTTTATGCTAGCAAAATTAAAAATTTCGTTGAACCAAACGAAATAGTGTTTCAAATATAACACTCATATATGCTTAGTATAAACTATTAGAATATGTTACGAAATCAAACTCAAATCTTCATGAAAACCATTAACTGGTCGTCCATTATTTGGTCTAACATAAAAGACATGGCACGTCTATAAAACGATAGATTTAGGGTATTAGTTTTAAATTCCATTATCTGTGAAAAAGTTTTCTCTCTGAACAAAAAATTTACTTGGAAGAATACATGAAGATAGAAGGTAAGTGTCGTGTAAACTTCTTTCTCCTCATCTAATATTTTCAAGCTTTTATGAAAGTTAACTTAAGCAACTTTTGTTTGATTGGAATAGCTTTGTATCGCTAATATACAGAGATTTCGTAGCAACTGCATAGAATACTTATCTATAGTATTTGATCTTTTTGGACAAAGAATAATGTATTAAATCTATCTACTACAGTTCCTGGGCACTGCATACAATATACTTAAGCATTCTATATAATGCTTAGAGAATAAGTCGAAAACTAAAAAAAAGTGTATGAAATGGAACATGGATCAAGAAAGAGAGCAAAAATATTTGATTTTTTTATTAAAAAATATACATTCTGCAGAATGAAATATTCGAATTTAAGAATTAAGGATTTAAGTAAGCATATAAACTTGCATGCAACATATGTATCTGACTATGAGTTTGTTCTTTTGCATTCTAAAGAATACCAAAAAAATATGTTAATGCCTGGCTTTAATCATTCCGTTTTATGCTTCGTACCATTATTCAACATTAACTGAATGATGCATTAACTGAATTATTCAGCATTAGCTGAATGATAAAACATAAATTTAATGGGAATTATGACAGTGATTTTAAATGAAGCATATTTTTCAAACATTTATAATAGATTTCAAAGAATGTACTATAAACATTTATAATACATTAATAAGTTAAAATTTTAAACTCGTGAGTTAAAACAGGAATGAAATTCACAAGAGTCTCGCACGATTATAAACTCTCCTTCATTTCAAGATTTCATAAATTTTTTCCCCGAAATAATTCGACAATACCGAAAAAAAACTCATAAAAATTTTACTTTTTCAAAGTAAGTAAACCGGATAAAAAATTTTTTAAGAAAAGATAAAAAAGAAAAGCAATATTTTTGAAACAAATGTTTTAATTATTTTAGATCATCAAATATATTACTTTTCTGTGAAACTAGTGGATAAGAAATATGAAATAACTTGGACAAATAGAAATAAAAGAAAGAACTCATATTTATTACAAAACATAGTTCGATGCCTGGCCAAGAATTACACCAGTTTTGTTGCATTTGGTTTCAACAGAAGGAGATAGTAGATGTATTAAATCATTTACTTCATTGCCCTCTTCGTTACAGAATGTTTTTGCTTTGAAACTAACACAATCGTAGAGAGAATTAGATAGCCTGAAAAATACAATCATAAAACTAAAAAAACATCAAGGAATGAAAATTCCGATTCGATAAAGTGAATCAGGTGTGTCAATGAAAAGTTTCAATTTAAAACACAATGTATGGATACGAAAAATTATGCAATTTATTAAAAACGAAAAATACTAAATTTCTAAATTTTTAGAATGTAACTTAAAAATTCAATTTTTATTTCAATTTAAAATCCAATTGCTACCAAAAATTGCGCTGCTTATTAAAAACAAAAACAAAATACTCAATTTTAAAATTTTGGGAATTTATTTTACGGATCCACTATTGCCCCAAAATGTCTCTAATTTTCAAAAAATTTAAAATTTTAATGATATTTATTATAATTGAATCTCTAAATAGTCAATGGTAAGCAATAATACGCAATTATGTGATATTTAAGGGTAGTGAAATATTATTAGAAACTATATTTTGCCCATTGCAGAGAAATTTAATTTTTTTAAAGAAAAAGAGAATCTTAATATTATCTATTGGCATAAATTAACTGTCTCTTTTCGAGTGAGAATCTATCTTTTAGACTTGTTTTTTTCACTTTAGTTTAAAAAATCAACAGTCAAATTTTGTATGACTCTAATTTTAGATCTTACTTCCTTAAATGTTTTAAACACAAATATAAAAAAAAAATGTGCAAAACAATAAATATTTTATATAAACACTGAAGTAAGCATTTGCATTCAAAATAAACCCAAAAAACTCTTTTAATATTCAAGCACAATATTTTTCTTTGTATTAACAATCAAAGCATCAACATGAAAAAATAAAAATTTTAGATTAAAAAATCCTGTTTACCAATAGGAGATTTGAGACTTTTATTTGCATACTATTTCATGGTAAAAATTTCTAAATATGCATTGTTATAAAATGAATTAATAATGTTTAAAAGAAAGCCTCCTTTCTAGGAAGTATTGCCCAGACCCTCTATAGTATAGTTTTTCAAATTCAAGTTGTAGGACATTTTGACTGTTTAAATTTATTGGGTGTATCTCATCTTGCCAAATCCCTTGCACAATGTATCACAAAACGGTTTAAATAATTTAAATTTATCTGATTTTTTCAAACTGTATTATAGATGCATTAGTTACTATAACAATGCTGATTCAGTTGATTAACCAATCATAATGCAAGAAACCTGATCATATAAGAGGTTTGAACAGTACTGAAAACATTTATTAATCTGGTATCGAGTAACTTCACGTGTTGTATTAGTGTAGTCATTCTCAAATTAAATTAAGGCTCTTCTCTTCACTTGCATTAATGTATAATTACTCTTCATTTGTACTTAGACTGATATACAAAAATTCAGCATAATGATTGCTGAATGTTACTTCATATTTTAAGCATTAACTTTTTTGAATGTTTTGCAAAATGAAATAAAAAAAAGGCTAGGCCCCTTCAGGATCTTTGACAGATAGCAAGTGCTCTTGTCGAAGAAAAAATTGAGCGAAATACAAAATAAATCGAAAACTTCATAAAACAGTAAGAAAACGAAAAAAAATAACAAGTCGTATTTAATAGTCTTCAGATAATTCAGTGAGTACTTATACAAACTATCAAATTTGTCTGTTACAAACTATACAAACTTGTATAAGTACTATACAAACTATCAAATTATCATTTATCAAATTTGTCTGTTTCCATCCGTAGATAAATGTTTGTTATTTATTTTGAAATAATTATCACATATCTTTAGATATTTAATTATTGTACTTGTTTTTTATTAACTCCTTTAATTTATTTGTTCAAATCCCCCTCAAGTAGAAAGATAGGTACATAAGTACAATGTTCAACCCAAAAATAGTTAAAAAGGTTAAAATTTACATAAAAAGTAGATGTTTAAGCAGATAAAAAATGTTATAAGTTATCACTTAATATTAAGTTCTGAATTTTATTACGTTAAAAAAAATAGAGAAATATTTTTGTCAGAAACGGACGAACTCCATCTTAGTAATAGTTAACAACTCATATTCATCCGAATAACCCCTAAATCGCCTGTTCTTTTAACCTGCCATATTTGAATTAAAAGTACACTCACGTGCATTTGTAGTCTGTGAGTTCTTTTTTGCTTAGTTTTGAAAAGGATTTGTTCAATACAACATCTATGTTATAGTAACAGTCTTGGAACTGAAACAGATGTTGAGCAAAACAGTTTTTGACGGTAGATAAATCACCTTCTGAACCTGTCAAATTTGAAGAAAATAATATAAATAAAAACTGTAACCGTATGGAAAATTAGATAATAAAATATATATTTTTTTAAAGAAACAATACTGAGTTTCGGTAAAAGAGAAAAAAAGTTTCAGGAGTAGGTCTCAAAAAGGGATACTCCACGACTAGACATCTTGTCCCTTAAATAAAGATGCCCCATATTTAGAGAGCACAGATAAAACATTTTAATTAGAATCTCTTCGGTCTAAAGATTTCCTTAAATTTTTTATTCTCTTCGTTGCATGCTACCGATCTGCTGATTATTTTTTTCTTTTAAAATTTTTTTCTTACAAATAATCTTAAGAGTTATGACAATTTGCTTAAATATGTTTAACTTATCATTTGAGGCATCGTGGTCTCGTTTGTGAATTCTTACTCCTCTTACAGGAATACTCCGTGCTCATACAAAACAATGAATAATATTATACCAATTTCATACACTTTTTAATACGTTATAAGGTAATTTTTGAGTGTTTATTGAAACATATCTTTTTTAACTTTATTTCTTTTCTAACCTCATTTGGCTTTTATTTATCCTAAATTTCTCAAACTGAAGTTTTTTATTTCTGCTATTTTAATTACATTAATCTTCTTTTCTTTGAAGCCACGATAGTTCTCATGTAAAAATAATACATAAGTACAAAACTATGCTTCTCCAAAAAGCTTCAATTTAATTATCTCTGAAATAGATATTCCCTTATTAAGGGTAAACTCATGAAAATTTCCTTTAGGAAAGGTCCGGAACCAACAGAATCGTCTTTTAAATAGAGAGTTTACTTTAGAGGAGGTATATTCTATTATTTTTCAATTCTCAGAAAAAGTTAGACGCGTAAAGATATCCAACCTTACACAAAATCCCAGGAAAACACTGTGTATATGCTTTGTATACATATTTTATATTATTTATTTATTTTATTCTTATTTTTATCTGAAACTGGAGCTTTGCCTTTCGCCAAACCATTTCAAACTTTAAAAGGTGGATTTCATAGTTTCAATAAGTTAGGAAAAATTTTCTAATCCTGTCTCGGCATTTTAGTTGTCGTATTCAAACTGAAAGTTCCCATACAAATTTATCAATCAAGTTTAAATCTATCGGAACAGTTGAGCAACAAACTTAATGGTGTAGCTTCAAAGGGCTAAATTATATTCAGCGAATTTTTTACTTATCGATTAATTTTTGTGCGAATAAATTTAGAGGATTTCTAAATGCATCTTTCTACGTAGGTGCAACTTATGCTTCCTTTAGCACTGAAAGAAATTGACTAACAGACCTAATTTGCAGTATTTTTTACGTAGTAACAGTTACATTATAACTACGCTGGCTCTGAGTCTCTCAGTAAATGCCTATCAGGAAACGCATAGCTAGACATTATACTGCGATTGAGAAATATCACCTCCATATCCTTGGTTGAAAGAAACCTTTTCATAATAAATTAATTAAAAAAAATATTGTATGCCCACTAAAATTAATTTTAAAGAGGGATGACTATTTTCAAAATGTTTTAAACCAAAGAATCAGTCCAGGTAGGTAGGTACTTTATTTACGCTGCACTAGAGCTGCACAAGGAGCTATTGGCGACGGTCTGGGAAGAATCCCTAAGGATGATCCGAAGACATGCCATCGCAATTTTGATCCTATGCAGAGGGGAGTGCTCTCCTGCTTTGATAGCCCGATGACCTGCTCACGAAGTCGAGCACCTTACGGTAGAACAGTTTAACGAGGACCGATACAGCGCACCCTGGTTTCTACCCAGGCTGATCAAAGTTTATACCCACCTGATTACTGACAGCAGCCAGTGATGCTTGAATCCAATGATCCAATGGAAACAAAAGAAATCAAGGGAATAGTTTTAAACCAAGGGAAGCAAATTGTACAGAAATCCTTTTTTTTTCTCGTTAGATGTACAGTGTTTTTTTTTTTTTTTTTTTTTTTTTTTTTTTTTTTTTTTTTTTTTTNTTTTTTTTTTTTTTTTTTAAATTCCTATCTGACAACATATTGCTCTTCTTTTCCTTAAGAACACGGTGTTTTGTCCAAAAACTAAAACTTGAAATAATATATTTCTGCTTTTGTTGTTTAAAAATTCAAATAATAGTAATAATAATTAACATTGACTGCTCTCCAACGGAAATCGCAGTGATACAGTACGCGTCTGTGGCGATCTAGAAATTTGGCAATGCGTCTAGATTGCGCCATTTGAGATAACACAAAATGTTTAAGAGCAACATATAACACACAGCAATTTTCATTAATGTTGACGTTGAAATATAATACAAGGTTATGAAAAAGATTGTGAATTAATAGCTATACATGATCATCGTATGCTGATACAGATGCTTCCTATTACTGACTAACTGTTTAGGCACATTCGAACCGGTATTTTATTCATTTTAACCAGCCTAATAATTTTAAATTAATTTCAAATTAAAGGCAAAGCGGCTAAATTTCCACTTGCCAGCTCACCATTGGCTACCGAGTATTAGTGACTGTCGACTAAACTTCGTTTCCTTAGATGTTGCGTTTCAAATTAAACTACCCATATTTTTCCCAGATTTAGCGTTTAAGCACAAACATCTGGGAAAACAAGAGCAACTTCAAGAAAAAAAGGTATGAAAAAAGGTTGACTAAAGCTAAAAAAAAAAAAGGAATAAAGCACAAATGAAAGTACGGGAATGATTTACTATAGTTTCGGTTCTTTAAATAGGAACCTTTATCAGTGTCTGAACACCAAAGGATAATAAGCCAAAGCGACAAACACGCGCAAGGTGGTTTAACCGATAGGGACAGAAGTACAAGTTTGAAAAATATAATAAAAAAGGAAGATAAGAAGCCGGCGTGGAGAATTTGGAGGGAAACCCAGGGTGCAACTGATTTAATTAGAATAAACTTCCGAAAATTGGTAAACGGTGGGATACTAGAACGATCAAACCAGAAAGGGGTGAGAAGATTTCCCATAGCTAAGTCATCAAACATAAAATTTATAAAAAATAAAAAGTCATAAAATTTACCATTAAAATTCAGAGTAGACTGTTATAAACAAAGCGAGTAAGATATAGAAGTTCGTCAATTTCAACTCAGCCAATGTTGAACGCTTGTAGTGTCTTTTTAAGGCAATTAAGAACACTTTTAAAGAGGATATTAGTGAATAAAGATTTAACATCAAACATTTCACTTCTGATTCATTTTGTTTTCATTAGGGTTAAACGCATGAAGCTCATGGACAAAATCGTATGAATTTCTGATAGTAAATCAACTTATACAAGAAAGTGGGGACAAAATTGAAACAAGATGCATAGCTGATGTATGCGAAGCGGTGCCAATATTAGAACAAACAATGGGTCAGAAAGGAGTACCAGTCTTATGAACTTCTGGTAAAGTGTTAAACCTAGCGCAGTGTGAGTTATTAGGTATAACAGATTATTCCGAAAAATTACTGTTTGTGTTGAGTTAAGAAGGCAGATTTGATTTTGTTTAACTTATTAGTAATTGGATCTTTATGTAATACTTTATATCAACCATCATTAAATAATATTTTAAATACTTCGAAATATTCGACCTTGTCTAGAACTACAATTTGACCCTCTAATCGGTAGTAACAATGCCGGAAGCTTCAAAAGCCTTACCAATTTGGTTGCTAAATTATAAAATTACTTTAAAATAGATATTTCTATGCCTCCGTGGGTGTATTGTTTAACAATAATTATTCAAAAATATGAATGTAAGGCAATTTAGGTAAATAAGCAAGGTATTAGTTCATTAGTACATGAACACTTAGTTCGTATTAAGAAGGCGTTCCCGGCACTTCTGGCCATGGATTGCTAAATAATTCTCAACCTTTGACCAATATGCTAATATACATATATTGACATATTGGTCATAAAGGTAGAGAATATTCTTGCTCTGAAGTTAAGTAATATAGATTAGATAACTACTTTAATAAATTCATATCTAATAGTAAAGAAAATTAATTGAAAAAAATGCAACTTAGGCAATTTAAATTTAGAAACAAAACATGTTACTAATTTATCAGAAAAAACTACTTATACTACATTAAAAGAAATGACTTATACCTGTAAATTGTAATCCNACAATAGCTCCGACCTTAGGAAACATTTTACTCCAAAAATATAATTTAACAAACTCCAAATAATATCACTCCAAAACTGTACAAATGCTTTGAATAAAAGAGAGTTGTTCTGGGCCTTTACTCTCTTTTGAAACCAGTTTAATAAGAATAAATAAAGCTGTATTTGCATAAATTCTACTCATATAGCTTTAATGAGACTTATTAGTCAGACAAAACTCATATCTTGCTCTTCTACTATTCTGTAACTTATATACTGTCTCATCTTTCTCAATCTAAAGATTTCGAAAAAAAGTATATTTACATAATATATAAAGCTTTATTAAACACTTAAATGCGTCGTAAATGAAAATTATGGTAGTGAAATCATATTATGTCATTTCTTTTTATTATATTGTTTAGTCAGATTGTCTCTAAGAGTATTTTAAAAAAAATAGTGAAAGAAAACATATATGTAGCTTAAAAGAAAGATTTAGAAACATTACTATAGCTTTTAGACAACTGCAAGAGAAAAAGATAACAAGTTTTTTTTAATTAAATTCAAGATTAATTTCACAAAGATTTGGTAATTAATATTTCGATGGGTAAATCCTTAAAATTCCTCTCTGACGACGCAGCAACTTTAGTCAGAAATTCCCTTGAAGGACGTATTGCTAAAAAATTGCAAGTCATTTTTTAATGATTTTGTTTTCTTGAAACTAAAGTAATACCGAAATCTATTTTTTTTCTAATTATATTTTGCGAAAGGTTTAAGGTGTATGTTTCAATTTTGTGGAAGGGTTATAAATAAAATAAAAAACACTCTTTCTCTTGATTGCTAAGTTAATTTTTCAAAACTATCAATATCCATTTCCAAACTTTTAAATAACAATCAGCAAATTATTCTTACGAGAATTAATATTTAATAACAAATTCCATAATTAATTGTTTAATTTAAAAAAAGGCAAAAGAGCATAAGTTGAAAGTAATTGTTAGAAATTTTTTAATTTAAAAAGAGTTTGAAAATATTTAAATTGTAAAGCAGACAATTTTTTACTCAGTTTTAAAGTTTGTGATTTTAAATGACAAAGTACAAAATTTGAACAAATAGTTCTCTAAAAACCATTTTTTAAAAATACGATTTCCTTAAAATTTGTTACCTCAAGACTATTCAACTGATTTAATTCACATTCTATTTTCCATTTAGCTTTACATTCTTTTTAAATAATGCAAAAGATTTTATACCTTTCAGTTAAGAAAGTTCTGGTTTATTATTACATAAAATAATAATAAAAAATTATAAATAATTACTAAAAATTATTTTTATGTGGAATTTTCTTAGGATAAATCAGTTTTATAATTTAGGGCGAAAATATTTCGATTCACCTGAAAAGTTCGCTAGACATAGCGAAATGTACAAAAAAGGAAAATAGCCGAACTTTCGTCTTGTCTTCTGACTAAACAATGAGGAACCTGTATGAGTTGAATAATCGCGTAATTTTGATGATTTTGAATAGTCTATGACAGGGGTCCCCAACATTTTTGTACCTAAGAGCAAATACCAGAATATCGGTCAAATGGCGGGCACCATTTATTTTTTCAAGATAAATTTATAGTTGATAGACATAGGTAATAATACACACTACATATAATGCACAAAAAATTTTATTTTAAAAATTAATTTACCATATGAATATAAATAGTATTAATATTCTTGTGTAAAATAAATTACTGCTAAATTGTTTCCAAAACGTACGAAGCATAAAAATTATTTATAAAATATGTAAAATACAGTTAATGTGATCTTAATTCCATTTCACTGGCCAGCGCTTCATAATTGGGAGGATATGATGAAATTCCTGCTCGCAGGCAATCGTCAAGGTGCTCATCTGTAAGTCGGGATCTATATTTTGATTTTTATGATATTCATTATCGAAAACAATGATTCAGACAAGTATGTGGAACCTAAAAATGACTTTATTTTATATGCTGCTGTGACAATCGAAACCCCCTGCCAACGCCATCTATGAGCACTAAAGAGACTCAAATAGAGCAGTTCTAAGTTAGTTTAACTCCATCTCTAGAACCGAAAACATGTAGGTTTCGAATTCCCCCCACTTAAGCTTTGTTTTCTCCCTGATTGTATTAATGCTTTATTTTGTGACTTGTAACTTACAATTTTATGTTCTTTGTCCCATTAAAATTCCTTAATCACACTGTTGATTAGAATTCCTTGAGTCGCATTGTACCACACTGCTCCTTTTAAGAATGGAATTTATTTCTGTCAACTATATTACAGAATTTCTCATCTGATATAATAGTTTTGAGAATAATGTCATCCTGAAGATCCAAAACTTCTATCTCCCCTTCTTCTCGGCTTACTTGAAGAAATTCTGAAATGTATGTTGCTATTACGGTATGTTTATTTGGTTGGTAAAAGGATTTACAAAAAAGGTGATCAGAGAGGCTCGATTATATTAAATTGTTGAAAGCGCTTTTTAAATTGATCTTGAAGCGTTGATAAGCCAATTTCACTGTCACCTATCATTTTTTCATGTTTGGAAAATACAGAANATATTGTTTAGTCAGATTGTCTCTTAGAGTATTTAAAAGAAAAATAATGAAAGAAAACATATATGAAGCTTAAAAGAAAGATTATAGCTTTTAGACAACTGCAAGAGAAAAAGATACTAAGTTTTTTAAAATTAAATTTAAGATTAATTTCACAAAGATTTAGTAATTAATATTTCGATGAGTAAATCCTTAAAATTCCTCTCTGACGACGCAGCAACTTAAGTCAGAAATTCCCTTGAAGGACGTATTGCTAAAAAATTGCAAGTCTTTTTTTAATGATTTTGTTTTCTTGAAAATAAAGTAATACCGAAATCTATTTTTTTCTGTTTAGATTTTGCGAAAGGTTTAAGGTGTATATTTCAATTTTGTGGAAGGGTTATAAATAAAATAAAAAACACTCTTTCCCTTGATTTCTAAGTTAATTTTTCAAAACTATCAATATCCATTTCCAAACTTTTAAATAACAATCAGCAAATTATTCTTACGAGAATTAATATTTAATTACAAATTCCGTAATTAGTTGCTTAATTTAAAAAAAGAAAAGGAGCATAAATTGAAAGTATTTTTAGAAATTATTTAATTTAAAAAGAGTTTGAAAATATTTAAATTGTAAAGCAAACAATTTTTTACTCACTCTTAAAGTTTGGGATTTTAAATGACAAAGTACGAAATTTGAACAAATAGTTCTCTAAAAACCATTTCTTAAAAATACGATTTCCTTAAAATTTGTTACCTCATGACTATTCAACTGATTTAATTCACATTCTATTTTCCATTTAGCTTTACATTCTTTTAAAATAATGTAAAAGATTTTATAACTTTCAATTAAGAAAGTTCTGGTTTATTATTACATAAAATAATAGTAAAAAATTATAAATAATTACTAAAAATTAATTATATATGGAATTATCTTAAGATAAATCAGTTTTATAATTTAGGGCGAAAATATTTCGATTCACCTGAAAAGTTCGCTAGACATAGCGAAATGTGCAAAAAAGGAAAATAGCCGAACTTTCGTCTTCTCTCCTGACTAAACAATGCCTGCATGAGTTGGGTAATCGCGTAATTTTGATGATTTTGAATAGTCTATATAGTCTATAACAGCGGTCCCCAACCTTTTTGTACCTAAGAGCAAATACCAGAATATCGGTCGAATGGCGGGCACCATTTATTTTCTAAAGATAAATTTATAATTGATAGACATAGGTAATAATACACACTACATATAATGCACAAAAAATTTAATTTTAAAAATTAATTTACCATATGAATATAAATAGTATTAATATTCTTGTGTAAAATAAATTATTGCTAAATTGCTTTCAAAACATACGAAGCATATAAATTATTTATAAAATATATAAAATACAGTTAATGTGATCTTAATTGCATTTCACTGGCCAGTGCTTCATAATTGGGAGAATATGATGAAATTCCTGCTCGCAGGCAATCGTGAAGGTGTTCATCTGTAAGTCGGAATCGATATTTTGATTTTATGATATTCATTATCGAAAACGATTATTCAAACAAGTATGTGGAACCTAAAAACGACTTTATTTTACATGCTGCTGTGACAATCGAAACCCCCTGCCAACACCATCTATGAACACTAAAGAGACTCAAATAGAGCAGTTCTAAGTTAGTTTAACTCCATCACTCGAACCGAAAACATGTAGGTTTCGAATCCCCCCCCCCACTTAAGTTTTGTTTTCTCCCTGATTGTATTAATGCTTTATTTTGTGACTTGTAACTTACAATTTTATGTCCTTTGTTCCATTAAAATTCCTTAATCACACCGTTGATTAGAATTCTTTGAGTCGCATGGCACCACACTGCTCCTTTTAAGAATGGAATTTATTTCTGTCAACTATATTACAGAATTTCTAATCTGATATAATAGTTTTGAGAATAATGTCATCCTGAAGATCCAAAACTTCTATCTCCCCTTCTTCTCGCCTTACTTGAAGAAATTCTGAAATGTATGTTGCTATTACGGTATGTTTATTTGGTTGGTAAAAGGATTTACAAAAAAGTTGATCAGAGGCTCGATTATATTAAATTGTTGAAAGCGCTTTTTAAATTGATCTTGAAGCGTTGATAAGCCAATTTCACTGTCACCTATCATTTTTTCATGTTTGGAAAATGCAGAAGAGACTTCATTTTCAAATGTGATATACACAAAAATAATTTATCTCTGAACAAGTTTATAGCCCCTGTCATTCTTACTATACGTTTGTCCTTTCCCTGCAGCTCCAAGTTTAAATTATTTAGTTTTTCCATTATGTCGGTCAGGAGAGATAAATCTGCGAGGCAAAGAGGATCTCTTAGCTCTAAAAATATTTGATTTTTGGTTGACATATAATTTTTTATTTCTTCAATTAAATGTAGAAATCTGTCAAGTGCTTTGCCTTTAGTGAGCCAGCGTACTTTAGTATGTATTTGCATAGCATTTTAAGGGAAAATGGAATTATTTTATCGCTGGGCACAAGCAGCGGGTGCACCTAGATCGATCGACGGACGCCATGGTGCCCGCGGGCATAGGGTTGGGGACACCAGGTCCATAACATAAAACTCTCAAAAATCAAATCAGTATGTTCAAAATTGACCTGTAATTTTTAAAATCATAATTCAAAATTACAATATTTTCTATTTGAGGAAAGAAAATTTATTCAGTGAGTTTAAGTGTATAATTTTATAACTAAAAATATCATCCGCGCAAATTACTTAGCTTACTTAAAATTATGTACTCAAACCACAAAAAATTAATCCTTAATACGCGAAAATTCTACTGATCATTCGATCTCACGTAATTCAGCGTGTTTAATTTATTTACTTAAATTTTTTTTTTTACATCAACTATATATTTCTGTGTGAGTGTGCTAATTTATGCTTTCTCATATGTTTAAAAGGCAAGTACGCCAGTCGTCTGTTGATCCCAGCAGAGCGCAACTATTCAACGACTGAACGTGAAGTCTTGGCTGTAGTTTGGGCCTTAGAAGAAGTTTCGAGGATACATCGAACACCAAGAAATTATTATTGCTTCAGATCATCAACAACTAAAATGGCTTCTGAGCATTAAGACACCATCTGAACACTTAGCAAGATGGGCTTTAAAAATACAGTCCTTCAATTTAAATACTCCAGGAAAAGCTAATGTCGTAGCTGACCTGTCCTCTAGGTCGACATATCTATATGAAGTTCCTAACTATGAAATGCAAGCTGTATCTATCAATATGCCTACCAGAAAGTCTAGTGATATTCGAAAAGAACAACTGGCAGACGCAGAACTGAAGAAACTATTGACTGTCTTGAAAGTAATTTAAAAAAAAGCGAAAATTTTGCCAACTTTATCTGTCGAGGATACATAATAAATGAAGGTATCCTATACCGCTATTCGCCTGAAATTGAGTAGGACGATGCTCAACTCATAGTTCCCGTTCATGATCGTCAAAGAGTGTTGCAGGAGTACCATGACTCTCCAACAGCTGGCCATTATGGTGTAGAGCGCACTTACAACAAGATCTCTTCCAGATACTATTTCTCTGGAATGAGACAGTACATCTCTGATTACATCAAAACATGTGCAGAATGCAAACGATACAAACCTACAAACCAGAAGCCTGCTGGGTTGCTTAGAACACCGATTTACGCTCAAAGATTAGAGACTCTTGCAATCGACCTTTTTGACTCACTTCCAGAAACTCCCACAGGGAGAAGATCTTTCTCATTGAAGATACCAGTACAGAATGGGTAAAACTCTTTGCCCTACAAGAAGCCACAGCTACAAATTGAGCTAAAACATTGATAGAAGAAGTTTTCTTACGTTATGTTTTACCCAGGAGGTTGATCAGCGATAACGATACGCAATTTGCTAGTGCTGTTATGCAACAAACTTGCGATTCACTTGATATTAAGCAAGACCTGATACCTGTCTATCACCCTCGAGCAAATCCTGCTGAAAGGAAAAATAGAGATCTCAATCCGAGATTAGCCATTCTTGTTGGTGACTCACATGATACGTGGGAAGAAAAATTAGTCATGATACGTTTCGCCATGAACGCAACAAAATGTGATACAACAGGGCACACGTTTGCAGTTTGGAGGGGAACTTCGAATCATAGATGACGTTAATCATGATGTTAGAGCTATCATTGAAAATGATAACTTTGTGCCTGAGATAATACCATACCTAAAAAGGTTTGCTCGTCTAACAGGTCAGATCAAAGAACGAGTCGAATGCAAACAGTATCAACGGAAAGCTAATTTTGATCGTCGTCAACGACCACTATACTTCCGACCTGGTGACAAAGTTTGGGTAAACATCTAACATTCATTCAATTAGTAAAAATAAGAAAAGTAGAAAATTTCTGCTCAAAAGAGAAGGACCTTACGTAGTTCTAACTAACCGATCCCCAACAACTTATGAGATTGCCGACCCGGCCAGTCGAAACCAAACTCTGGAAACTTATCACAAGTCATCTTTAGAAACTTATATGGAACCCGAAGTAAAAAGAGACACTGGAGGACCTGTCGCTCCTATAAAAAGAAGGGGGTGTCCCAGGAACGAATTCCTGGCTCCTCGTCGAGGCGCCATCCGAGCCAGAGGGGGAGTCTGTGGAGAAACGAACTAGTAACGCCTCCTAGCGAGAAACTAGAAAAACTCAGAGACAGTGAGAGAGCGTGGTGGTGAACGAAAGATTTGAAAGCCGGCCATGCAGTGCTCCCCCTTTTTCTTTCTTCTTATTTAGTTTTGTTTATGCTATGTCTGTGAATGTGTTAAGTGCATATATATATATATATATATATATTTTATAATTTTTCCACGCTTTAACC